GAGGGGCTGTAACGAGAGTCCAGCCACGATAAGAAAGCTCTGTGACAAATGATTATGTGAAAAATATTAGTACTAAACCAAGTTCTAAATCATGCCATGCTACTTGGAATGGCCAACTTCTTAATGCATGTTGGCGTACCCTTAATTGTATTTGAAAAGACGAATGGAAGAGATTCTTCGGTTGGCCTCTCCGGAAGCAGAAGACGATTAATTGCCTTGTAGTTATGAATGTGGATCTGTTCGAAGCAGACGTCGATGCTTTATCCTGCCACCCAAAATAATGAAAATTTCCGGTGAGGCCGACCTATACATCCTTTCTATCCTCCTTTTAAAGTCAAACAAAAGTTACACAAACGGAAATCTATTGAGCGATTCTTCGAAACTTGATTTACCATCACATTTATGATCAAGCTATGTGCATCGAAGATAATTCATTTATTCAGACAAAAAAGTATTTCCCAAAAACAGGTTTAGTCATCCAAACAATGTGCCGAATGACTATTGCAGAGTGCTCAGCTATTTTCGAGATGAGAGGTCACCTGTGATTGTGGTCTAAACTTGAACAAAGTACGACAAATGGTAGCTTTACTCGCTACTTAACAACTACTGGCTGCACTACAACTCACACAGTCATAAACGCACACACTCACTTACATGTGTATGCGCAAGCATAGACAGCCGAATTGTAAGTATTGGAGATCAGAGAGTCAGATTACCGTATCCAACAGCCAGCCTAGATGCTGCGAGAGAGATGTTGCAAAACATACTGATCAGACAATCTAATTTTGCATTCACGGTGAATCGCTGATGTAGTTAGCCGAGCTGATCGGACACTTTGAATACATTCTTGTATAGGCTGAATCAAAGGCTTGAACTTTGAGCTTTTTGAGTGCTGCTAGTCTCTTGGTTTCAGAGTGGAATTGGTGCGATTGCCTTTCGGCAACGCTCACAATAGAAAAAGACGCTGTCGCTCTTCTCTTGTGGCAACTCTACGAGGATGGCCGTACAGAATAGCGCAGGTTTACAGAACAAAAGTCTTGCCAGCAAGGACTTGGCAAATAGCGTTATTACTTTGGAGTCGAAAAGGGAAAAAGCCCAGTGGAGCAGTCAAATAGAGTTTTTCCTCTCTTGCATTGGATATGCCGTTGGATTGGGCAACCTCTGGAGGTTTCCGTACCTCTGTATGGAACAAGGCGGTGGTAAGCTGAATTTGCCCATTCTAAATAGACATTAATTTAAATTACTTTTTTTCACGTCTTTACCACAGGATTTGCATCCACGCAAGAGCTCATTCGATGAAAGTACCGGCTAGCTAATTGTAAAGACTGAACGTTGTCATATTTTTTTAACGAAACATTTATGTCCCCATTTCAAGTCAACTTATTAGTGGGCTCGCCTGGTCAGTACACCGAATATTACGAGACTCGGCTCAAAGTAAACATCAAGAATAGCAGATTCTACTATAGAACCTTGAGCTTTCGAATCCTTTTTATCTATTCTTAAATGACTAGAAGGCCGTTGTTGATACAACTTTACCCAGTTGACAAGATTGAAAAACGATTCATTACTTTCTGCTATTCGCGAAGGAAAGGTGGTTTGGTTCGAATAGACTTGCCCACTACATGGCAACTTTGTGGTTGGACGAAATATTTTTCCTTTCATTAGTGGGTTTTCGATCTGATATAAAAGCTGTATTCTCTTTACCTCCCCAAAATAATGCCTTTTAACAAGCAAGACTATGCGAAATTCAGTGGAAACACGAGGTCTACTTAAATAATTGCGGATAAATTCAACTACCAGTCCTTCCTCAGTGAATACAGCTGGCATAGCAGAAATATGCTTTGCCTATAGCGACTATTTTTTTCACTCGATCCAGTACCTGAATCGCATCGGATCAGTGCACAGGTAGGTTAATACCGGCCGAGGTCAGAGTTAGACTGTTCATGCATTTTACTACCGAAAAAGCACTGTTAACACGCATAACTTTTAGGCTCATTTAGGTGAGTAGAGAGAATTCACTTTAACTTCAGCCTTGGAGAAAGATGGACGCGTGTATCACTAAAACGATAAACAATGCAACTGATAGTTAAACGTTTGAAGGGTGGACCATCATTGGACCAGACTATTGTTGCGCTGCAGTGCATACTACTGACAATTTTGCTAGTAAGATTAGTACCGGGTCATTGTTGATTATCATCATATTCTGTTGAACCAGTTTATGCCTTGCATCATTTGGTCTAGTAGTATAACAGGCTCACTTGCAGAAGGTTACAGATTTACTTGTGAACAGTAGTAAAGTAGTAGTTTTTCCGTTGTAAATAGTCTAAATGC